GGAGCCCTGATGCTGGGCTCGCTCCCAGGACCCTGAGATCATGACCTGAGCTGAAGTCAGATGCTTAACCAACTGAGCCACCCAGGCGTCCCTAGAATTCAGATTTTTTTAATGGTTACTTTTTAAATAGCACCTAGTTATGAGAATTGGGACAATTCTCCATTGTCTGGAAAGCTGGTACTTGGTTTGGAAGCTGGGGATGGGGCAGTGGAGAAGAGGAAAGGAGACAGGGCCTCTGTAACTGACCCCCTGGGGGAATAGCAGAACAGATGTCAGGGCAGAGGGGGATGAAGCAGTAGGCTCCCGCTTGTCCTGACACAGCTTCTGTATCCCCCACTGGATGGTTCTGCCTTGTTTCCCCCTCCCCCACCCCCGACTGTGCTGGGGGATAGGAGAGCTGATGGGTTGCAGGCTTCACTTACCTTGGCGAGGCCCAGGTGTGTGCCTGTGAGCACTGGAGAGGGAGACCCAGATGAGAGCCCCGAGTGTGCCTTAGGATGACTCTCACGTGAGGTTAGTGCTCCTGGGAGGCCTCGGCCGTCTCACGTGTAAGTACACGAGGGGGAGCCCCAGGTGCCTCACTAGCATGTGGGAGGCCCAGGAACGTCAGCTCAGAGTGCCTGCGTGTCACCTGTGTGTGCTTCAGGGTGAGGGAGACCTAGGGGTGTTACTATTGTGTGCCTAAGGCTGAGTAAACGGTGTGTGTCTGAGAGACGCTTATGTGCCCTCTGCGTGTGCATGGGAGCTTCAAGTGACAGAAATATGAGCTCCAGAGGTGAATTACAGTCATCTTACAAGGAGAAGGGGACGAGCCTGTTTACCACAGTACTCGAGTTTCAGACCGATCTTACCAGTATGTACCTGAGCAGGGCTGTTCCCCGTGTCTACGTGAGGATGACCCTCAGGTATGTTACTAATAGACGCTGGAGAGGAATCCCGTGTATCAGGTGACTAAGATGGGTCCCAGGTGAGACGTGGAGAGCGACGGGTACCTGAGGGCGAGTGAAGCTCAAGTGCTCTTTCCAGTAGGGCCGTTGTGAGCCCAGCTCCCCCACCAGGCTTCTGCCTCCAAGGTGAGGCCCTCCAAGCTGGCGCACCCCAGGCTGACCACCCGGCCTTGCTCTGTTCCCACAGGGCCCAGCGCTCGCCACCGCCCCCGGGCCCAGAGGCCATGGCCTGCCTCCATGAGACCCGCACGCCCTCCCCTTCCTTCGGGGGTTTCGTGTCCACCCTAAGCGAGGCGTCGATGCGCAAGCTCGACCCGGACACTTCCGACTGCACCCCGGAGAAGGACCTGACGCCTACCCAGTGTGTACTTCGAGATGTGGTGCCGCTCAGTGGGCAGGGTGGGGGCGGCCCCAGCCCCTCCCCAGGTGGAGAGCCGCCCCCTGAGCCTTTTGCCAATAGTGTCCTGCAGCTGCACGAGCAGGATGCGGGGGGCCCCGGGGGAGCCACGGGGTCGCCTGAGAGCCGCGCGTCCCGCGCCCGAGCCGACGAGGTGCGGCTGCAGTGTCAGAGCGGCAGCGGCTTCCTGGAGGGGCTCTTCGGCTGCCTGCGCCCCGTCTGGACCATGATCGGCAAAGCCTACTCCACAGAGCACAAGCAGCAGCAGGAAGGTAGGCCGAGCCCTCGTCTCCCCGACATCTGTCGGACAGCCCCATCTCATCACCCGAGGACCCTGTCCCCCTAGAGCGCAGCCGTGGCCCCTCCTCCGTCCATGAGCCCTGGACTTCCCTGCTCCGTAGGGCGCCCGCTCATTTCCTCACCTGTTCCCTCAGACCTCGCCTTCTTGGCCTCTTGTGGCTCATTTCCGGCCTCGGCCGCCGAGTCCTATCAGCCAGCCCAGTGCTCTCCCCGTGCCTGACCATCCTGAGAGGCTGCGCGTGGCTCTCTCTGAGCCTTGTGGCACTGCGTCTCCTGTTCACAGACCTTTGGGAGGTCCCCTTTGAGGAGATCCTGGACCTGCAGTGGGTGGGCTCAGGGGCCCAGGGCGCCGTCTTCCTGGGGCGCTTCCACGGGGAGGAGGTGGCTGTGAAGAAGGTACGGGACCTGAAGGAGACGGACATCAAGCACCTGCGGAAGCTGAAGCACCCCAACATCATCACCTTCAAGTAAGGTCCAGGGCAGGGGCTGGAGCTGGGGCTGTGGGCAGGGAGCTGCTTGGGCGGCAGGGGTCAGGCCCCCCGCCTTCCCTAAAGGCGATGCCCAAAGGGGCTGGGTGGGAACGGGGGTTCCAAGTGTGAATCAGGGGCACGCGAGGCTGGCCCAGGCCCTGACGCCACTGTTTGGCCCCCAGGGGCGTGTGCACCCAGGCTCCCTGCTACTGCATCCTCATGGAGTTCTGCGCCCAGGGCCAGCTGTATGAGGTACTGCGGGCTGGCCGCCCTGTCACCCCCTCATTGCTGGTTGACTGGTCCATGGGCATCGCCGGTGGCATGAACTACCTGCACCTGCACAAGATTATCCATAGAGACCTCAAGTCCCCCAAGTGAGTAAGCCAGCAAGCACAGAGAAGCTGATGTGCATGGTCTCCTGCAGGTGACCTCACCTGTCAGTGTAGCCGTCTCCCTGCTTCCAGACCCTGTCCTAAGTCCATGTGGCCATCTCAAAAACCCCTCCCAAATGACAGTCCTATTTCGGGAGGGCTGTGGCAAGCCCCCGGCCTCTGGGTGTCCCAAATGACTTAAAAGAGAAAGTTAGAGTTGCTGCAGCTAGATGAGGTGTGGAGGGGCCTGGCCCCCAGCTGACTACAATCTTTACCAGCATGCTAATCACGTACGACGATGTGGTGAAGATCTCCGATTTTGGCACTTCCAAGGAGCTGAGTGACAAGAGCACCAAGATGTCCTTTGCAGGGACGGTAGCCTGGATGGCCCCTGAAGTGATCCGCAACGAGCCCGTGTCCGAGAAGGTCGACATCTGGTGAGGGCCAGGTTGAGGACAGAGACGGGCAGGTGGCCAACCCCAGGGAAGGAGGGGGCTTCCAGGGCCTCTGGAGGGAGCCCCTCCCAAGGGATGTCCCCTCTCATCCCCAGGTCCTTTGGTGTGGTGCTATGGGAACTGCTGACTGGTGAGATCCCCTACAAAGACGTAGACTCCTCAGCCATCATCTGGGGTGTGGGAAGCAACAGTCTCCATCTGCCTGTGCCCTCCAGCTGCCCAGACGGCTTCAAAATCCTGCTTCGCCAGTGTTGGTAAGGATGGCCTGGCAAAGCTGGAAAGCCAGGGCTGGTTTCTGGCGGTTAGACGGCACCTAGGACCCAGGCCTCCAGGCCCAGAATCCTGAACAGGGCAAGAGGGACAGAACTCCCTCGTATGATTGAGACAAAACTCTGTGCAGCCTTGGGCAAGTGCCATCCTCCCTGAGCCCGTTTCCTGGTATGTAAAAGGGGGACACCAGTCCCAGCTAGCCAGAGCAGCCGGGGTGCACCTGTGAAGGGCCGGCACAGCCCCCGAGCATGGCGGCTGGAGCCTCGAGTTGGCTGCCTTAGAACACAGGAAGGAGGGTCCTCGAGCCTTGCTTGGAACCTAGACTTGAGGGGAGGTTGACTAGATTTCTAATCTTTGGTTAACCATTTCCCAAAGTGTGTTTCTTTGAATGGAGTTACTCAGAAAAAGGTGTCTGGAAAATAGGATTAAATAGGTCTCCCTACTGCAGGCTTCGATGTACTAACAGATAGTAAAGCTAGTGGACAAGGGGCTTCGGTTACAGAGCACATTCCAGGATGCTGTTCTGCAGGGCCCACTTTGGGAAAGGATGCTCTAGTTCCTTTCTGGTCGTCCCTAAAATTTCCGTTTCCCCCAAACTCCATGCCCTCCAGGAACAGCAAACCAAGAAATCGTCCGTCATTCCGCCAGATCCTGCTGCACCTGGACATCGCCTCAGCTGACGTCCTCTCCACGCCCCAGGAGACTTACTTTAAGTCCCAGGTGTGCTGTGGGCGGGAAAAGGCATACCCCAACTCCCCCGTCTGCAGAGAGGACGAGGCCCTCTGAGGGGAGGTGGGGAGGGGCGGACAGAGTGGTAGGTTCACTCTTAAGGGCCGAGACCCCGTCCTGACCAGTCCCGTGCCTGCTCCTACTTGGCTCCCTGTCTGCAGCTCAAGGGAGGTCCCTCACCCCTGTCTCTTCACCCCCTAGGCAGAGTGGCGTGAAGAGGTAAAGCTGCACTTTGAAAAAATTAAGTCAGAAGGGACCTGTCTGCACCGCCTAGAAGAGGAGCTGGTGATGCGGAGGAGGGAGGAGCTCAGGTGTGGGCCTGTGTCTGGGAAGGGGATTTCGTCAACAGCAGGGACCGTGGACCAGTTCCCAGAGACTGGGACCAATTACGGCACCAGGTGATGCTAGCTCACCTCAAAGAGACCCTTCTGCCTGTTTCAGACACGCCTTGGACATCAGGGAGCACTATGAACGGAAGCTGGAGAGAGCCAACAACTTGTACATGGAACTTAATGCCCTCATGTTGCAGCTGGAGCTCAAGGAGCGGGAGCTGCTCAGGTAATCGTATGCGCCCTGTGCACCAAATCTTGTGTTCATGGAGCTGTGACACAGAGAACCTACTGAGCCTGGGTCCCCCTTTCTGTCTGATCACATGCCCAATTGAGGTTATGTTGTCTTTAGGAGAGAACAAGCTTTAGAGCGGAGATGCCCAGGTCTGCTTAAGTCACACCCTTCCCGAGGCCTCCTGCATGGGAACACGATGGAGAAGCTCATCAAGAAGAGGAATGTCCCACAGAAACTGTCACCCCACAGTAAAAGGTGGGACCAGAGTTTAGAAGTGTTGAGGTTTAAGAATGGCAGGGGGAGTGCTAGAAGCAGGGATGGAGAGCAAGGATGCCCAGAAGACTGAGCTGGGGGGGGGGCGGGGGGGAAGGACTTTGTACTACCCGAGGTTAGGGAGGGCTTTCAGGTTGGTAACTTTGCTCATCTCAGACTTGTACTTTCCCTCCGCTACCAGGCCAGATATCCTCAAGACTGAATCTTTGCTACCTAAACTTGATGCTGCCCTGAGCGGGGTGGGGCTTCCCGGGTGTCCTAAGGGCCCCCCCTCACCAGGACGGAGTCGTCGTGGCAAGACTCGTCACCGCAAGGCCAGCGCCAAGGGCAGCTGTGGAGACCTGCCTGGGCTTCGTGCAGCTTTGCCACCCCATGAACCTGGGGGACTAGGAAGCCCAGGGGGGCTAGGAGGGGGACCCTCAGCCTGGGAGGCCTGCCCTCCGGCCCTGCGTGGGCTCCACCATGACCTCCTGCTTCGAAAAATGTCTTCATCATCCCCGGATCTGCTGTCAGCAGCACTGGGAGCCCGGGGCCGCGGGGCCACAGGGGGAGCTGGGGATCCTGGCTCACCGCCTCCAGCCCGGGGAGACACCCCGCCAAGTGAGGGCTCAGCACCTGGCTCCACCAGCCCAGATTCACCTGGGGGAGCCAAAGGGGAGCCACCTCCACCAGCAGGGCCTGGTGACATTGTGGGGCTGCTGGGAACTGGAAGGGAAGGGACGGCGGGACGGGGAGGAAGCCGGGCTGGGTCCCAGCACTTGACCCCAGCCGCGCTGCTGTACAGGGCTGCCGTCACCCGGAGCCAGGTAAAGTACGGGGCGGTGCCTAAGCTCTTGCCCTTTCCTCCTCTCCCTGGGGCCCTCGTCCATAACCCATCTCCTGTATCAGGTCTTCATCTGAAGCCATTCCCTACTTACCCCTGGACTATGTTCCCTTCTCTTGGGCCCTTGCTGACCTCTTTCCACTTTTGACCACAGTCCACTCCTCTCTCCTGCAGAAACGTGGCATCTCATCAGAGGAAGAGGAAGGAGAGGTGGACAGTGAGGTAGAGCTGCCCTCAAGCCAGAGGTGAGTGACACGGGAGGGGATGACAGTGTTTTGCTTTGGGGGCTGCGGTGTGCCAACTGTGACCCTGGCCTCTCCAACACACAGGTGGCCTCAAGGCCTGAACATGCGCCAGTCACTGTCCACCTTCAGCTCAGAGAATCCATCTGATGGGGAGGAGGGCACGGCCAGTGAGCCCTCCCCCAGTGGCACACCTGAAGTTGGCAGTACCAACACTGACGAGCGGCCAGATGAGCGGTCTGATGACATGTGTTCCCAGGGCTCAGAAATCCCACTGGACCCACCTGCATCAGAGGTGGTTCCTGGCCCCGAACCCAGCTCCCAACCCATCCCACACCAGGACCTACCCAGAGGGGAGCAGGTGAGTCAGAGACAACTAGATACTTGAAGGAGCAGATGCTTAGTTACTTAGGACCTAACGGATAGATGAAGACACCAGAAAGACAGGTATTTAGCCTCCAAGTCACTCAGTATGTGAGCCCAGTTCCTCCCGTACCAAGGAGCAAATATCCACAGGGCAGACTTTGAGAGGCCCAAGGTATAGAGCATATAGTATGGTTCGTAGGTTAGCAGTGTTGCTTGTACGATAGCTCTAAATCCCAGCCAGGACAAATCCTGACACCGGGAACCTGGTGCCTTGGCATTTCATGGCCTCAGCCACTGAAATCCGAAGACCGTGAAATCAGCGAGCTGCTGGCTATTACAAAGACCTCAGTGAAGGATCCTGAAGGAATCCATCCGTAACGCCAAGAGCTACCGAGCCTCACCTCACTGCACTTCTACTCTTCTTCACAGGGCCCTCCCAATAACGAGGACTCAGACTGTGACAGCACTGAACTGGACAACTCCAACAGTGGTGAAGCCTTGCAGCCTCCAGCCTCCCTCCCTCCATGAAAGCCACTCTTACTCCTGTACATAGAGAAATTATTTATATAAATAATATATAAGCGCCACATAATCAACAGAGAAAGATGGGGCTGTCCCAGCCTTAAGTCAGGCTCAAGGGAGTCTGACCCCTGACCAATTCACCTGATAAATTCTAGGGCTACCGGCAGCTGTGGAAATGGACAAGTATTACCCTAGAGCTGTGGGTACGGGCAAACTGGCCCCTTCCTGCTTCACCCCATTATGTTCAGCGAGCGGTAAGGCAATAGAAAAGCCAGACTTGCCTCTTATGTTCCTCTATACTCTTTTCCCCCTAACCCTGGGGAGGAGGAAAGGGAGCCACTTAGACTGCACTTTTTTGTTTTCCGTTTACTCTGTTTACACATTTTGCACTTGGGAGGAGGGAGGCGAAGGCTGGGTCCTCCCCTCTGAGGTTTCTCAGGTGGCGATGTAACTAATTTCTTTGTCCCTCCATTTCTCTGCCCAAGCCCTGGCTTAGGGCCTAGGGGGAGCTTAGGAGATTGTGAAAGCATGTGATGGCTCAGGCTGAAGAAAGGGGATGATGTTTTAAGTCCCTGCTTTTATCCTGGCGCCTGACTGGGGTGGGGACTGTCATATTGTAACCCCTGTGAAAAAATCTTAAAATATAACCACTCCATGCAGGCCCAGCTGTTGAGGGTTTTCTTGGCGAATGTATGGGGTAGTACACATGGTCAAAGTAGGAGCCTTGGGCTCCAGACATTATCTGAGGACTCCGGACAAGTTCTTCCCTCCTTTTATGTTTTTCCCCACTAAATGAACATTGCTTAAAGTTCCAACCTTCTAAAATGATCTGCATAAATGGTAACAGGTACATCTTTCTGGAAGGACTTTAGTAGGAAAACAGAAAATGTCAAAACACACATTCTTCTTATGGAGAGAACTGTAAATGAACAGTTATTCCAAACAAGAGACTGGTTTTCAGCTTGGCCAAGGATGGGTCAGACATGCCCGGCAACGCATCCAACTGCTTCCACAGTATGCACGTGCATCCCTCCCCAGGCCCTGCCCACCCAGTGGAGGTGCTATCTTAGTCTTTGCAGACCAGTCCTAGGAAAATGAGGTAAACGTGACCCCCGCACTTTCGGACAAAGGGCACACAGCTAGCTTGCGACAGCTATTTGGTTACTCTGCAAGGCAGGATAAAGGGAAAATTAGTTCAAGGACTACAAAAAAAAAGATGGAGTGGTAAAACAGAAGGTAACATCTTAATGGAATAAAGGCTTATATTCAAAACCCAAGCAGGGTCCTTGTCCTTTGAGGCATAAAAGGTGCAAAAAGAACAGCAAGACAACAGGAATAAAACCCACATGAATCACTGTGGCATCCAGTTTCTATTCACAAAGAAAAAGCTCCAGTCCATCTTTTAATTTTTTTGAAAAATTCCTGACATTACAGAACTAAACTGAAATGTATTAATATTCCACTCTTACATTTCCATGACAAACAGAAAAAAAATTCATGAGCCAAAAAAAAAGGGGGGGGAGAAGCTTATAAAACTAAATATGGATCTCAGCATTAACAGCTGAACAGAGAAAGGAATTAAAACGCTTTAATTAAAAAATCACGAGTGGATGATAAAGTGTGTAGAAACTGAAAATTTACAAACTATTTAAAACCTGGAATCGCTGACTGTTCAGAAACTACACAGATGGATCATGGGTGGTGGTGAACAGCAGAAAGGGATTATGGATGAATCTGCATTGTTCTAGCTGCTCCCCATGCCACCCGTCTCCGAGGAAAGCCTGTAACACAAAAAATAAACAAGAACTCAAAGTTAGTTTTCTGAATGCCCAGCTGTACCTCACCTCCGAAACTTTCAATGTCAAGGGGGGCATTTTAAGATTTCTTGGATTAACTGGTGCCATGATCTCATAACCCCTGTAACCCAAGCTTTCTGAGGAAAATTATCCCAGAACTGAAGGAAACAGACTCTGGTTACCAACAGTGGGTGTTCCTCTAATTTGTGGGAGATGTTAAATGCTTTCCAAAAGTATGCCACACACTAAAACCTCCTCTTACAGGATCCTACTACACAGAAGTACCTTTTCTTTACTGTTAAGCTTATTTTAGCTCCTCCCAAGCTACTGAGAGAAAGCAGTTTAGGAACCCTTTATCTGAAAGTAGCCTCATGAAGCTAATGTTGAGACAGAGCAACAAAGGCTTCAGCTCTGGGGTTCTCTAGCATCATGAAGGCTATTCCTATTCAGAGATAATAGTTTTTAAACGCTAGGGGATGTTAAAAAGGGAACAGCAGGTATAGTAAGTATAGTCAAGAATTACACCCAACCTATCGTCTTCAGACTTCAAAAGCAGAAGCCGCATGTTTCAACAATTCCCTGGTTCCTTCCAGAAGCTCCCAAACCTTGGAATCCTTAAGCTAACTCTCCATTCAAACATACCCAGCCAGCTACAATGCCTTTCTGTCTCAAATGTATCATTTGAGGTCCTGGAACCCAAGTCTGAACTCTGAAGGAAAATTATTTAGGTATTTATAGCCTGCTTCACTGAGTATTACATACCCAGCAAATCTTAGCTCCCGCTTTGAATAGAACTAAATGTGTAAGACTCCGTTTCAATTCATAAATTTATTTCATTAGGATTTCCAACTGACTGGCATAACCTATTTGTGGTATCTAGTCAAGAGAAAATGAATGGTACTTTGCAATCTCTATGCCTTCCACAACAATGCAAAGCCGGAGGGGCGGAGAAGACAACACCCAAGAACCAGGAAATAGGTCCTTCAACTACAAACTGTATTTCAGTCTGAAATGGTATTTCTACCTCAACATAAAGGGGAATATAGTTAGTTCTTTTAAAGGGGGCAGATTCTTGCCAATCTCAAAATAGGATGACCTAGGGCAATATAAGCAGTAAGCCGAACCTAAGAGTTTAGTGGGGAGTGAAGGTTCAGGAAGGAGCTGCTGTAAACAGTTTAGATGTAGGACCTACCTAAAGAAAATTAAGTTCATGCAAGAAGGTGATGGCACTCTGGCAACAAAAAGAGCTCAAAAAGAACTATCCAGAATTTATATACAGCCTAAACAGTGATTGAGGCACGGGGTGGAGAGAGGGCAAGAAGGGAAAACCCAACCGAAGTATCACGCTAAGGACTCTATAATAGGACATGAGGGACCCAAAAAATTTTTAAAAATTTAACACCAAGTTGTGGTGGCAGCTGCATCTTAAACATCTGCCTCCTTCCCTGCACTCCTCCGTTAGGGAGTACTCATTAGGTAAAGATTCCTTCTAATCAAGAACTAGATAAAATAAAACCTGGTCTCTGGGGGGAGCTGGTACCAGCAAAATTTAAGTCCTAGAGAGAGCTTATTAAGGGACAGCTGGACCATATGACAAGGGAGCAACCAGCAACTAACAAGAGGAAACTATCGACAGTGAAAAGAAGGCTGCTCCTCTAGTCTTTCGTGCAGACTTGGGACATGTTAACACTAGTTTCATAGGCCAAATCTGGGACTGAGGGACCACAACGCCATGAGACAACACACTGCAATACTTATCAGCAATTTTTTTTTTTTTAATACTATAAACCAAATGAGATGTGGGAAAAGATCAACAAGAAAAAAAAATCTCTACATTAATTCTCTAATGCTCTAAGGAAGAGCCATATGCTTTCAGGTTGAACAGAAGACCATCAAAGGCCTTCTGCCATCATACCTACACCATTTCTAGTCTTTAATGGAGAGATAGCTGTGGTCTTAGTATAAGGAAAATAAGGCTTCAAGGAGATAAAGTACACTTGAGTAAAAGTAAAGCACAAGTTGTTAGTGCTGATTAGTCACTCACGTGATCTGTGAATTTAAATTCTCCAAGGCTTTTTTTTTTTTTTTAATCTGATAAATGAGTGGACTGGTGAATTGCAGTTGATCTTAAAGGTTCCTTCTAAGTTTATAATTTCTACTCATGACAGGGTTGGTGGGAGACAGAAGGAGGGGGGCAGGGAATGGAAGGAAGGGTAAAGGGACTTAGTAATCAGGGTGGCTTTAGGATGACTGGAGAATCCTGTCAAATTTTGGGTGATGTTACAGGTTGGTTGTTCAAGATTTACCCAGTGTCACAGGAAGAGGGATACTTCTCAGTCAGAGAAATGCAGACAAAAGCCAGCAAACTTTATTAGACTTTTTCCAACTTGCCTCCCCATTCTAGGTCAAGAAGTAACTTCTCTATATGTATGCTCTGTAAAAGATCCTCACAGTAACCACTCACCAGAGGAAACAATCTTGGGATGGACACCCTTGTTACCTGCTGCTGTTGGCAAGGCAACGGATCTGAGAAGTCAGAGAAATTGGTCTTCACTAAAGCAGCTTAATGCCAATGAAGAAGACCCTCAGGATGTAACCTGCTACAGGCTCATCTTCTTTTGTGGGGAATGACCAAGGACTACTACTAAATTCACCAGGGACACAGCAGGCCCGAGTCAGTCTTACAGACTCCCTAGTTGAGTAGCCACAGGTCACAAGTTCCCACCCCTTTGCCCTTCACAGCACACAGTCAACTAAAGTTCTTACTGTGGCAACTTTATTACAGCTAGAAACACAAATCTGGCCAAGACGGCCTGCTGATAACTTAACCATTAAATAATTTAAAAAAAAAAAAAGGGTTAATGGAGAAGCTTTTATTCATTAACACAGAGCCTAACACATTGTTATATTGCAATGCAGAATAAAGCTACAAAAAAGTAACAGAACGAAAAGGAAGAGCAAGATGTGGCTCTAGATAAAGAATTCAACAAGTCAGACTCTGAAACAGGCACTCAGATGGAATGGCCTAACCCTAACCCCAGGTTACCGTTACCCCCACCCCCACCCTGTTATGCCCCCAAATAGTAAAAAGGAAACGGTCACAAGCTCACAATTGTTCGGTTCTCACCAATGTTAACAAAGAAAACCAAAATGAACCAAGAGTGCTTGAGGGGGTGCCTCAAGATATTCAATCAGTAGGGGGAGAATCTCTGTTTCTCGCCTTTCAGTTTGTTAGTTACACATGGCACGGCAGAGGTGGTGGTGGCGGTGGCTGAAGCCCCGGTACCCTTAGCAGCAGACACAACATTTAGAGCCAGGAGAGGGATGGGTTTCATGCCAAGCAGACTGGAGACACAAGGGGCGGTCGGAAGAGGGTTGGGGAGGCTGGAGGGTGCGTCGGAGGTCCCCGCTGTGGCGAGCGAGGGGGTGGTGGTGGAGGAGGAAGAAGAAGAAGAAGGGGTGGAGGGTTGAGAGAGGTTGATGCTGAGGTGATCAGGGATCGTGACGGAGGCTGCCTGGGAGGAGGGTTTAGCGTTTTCTAAACTGTAACAGAGGAAAAAAGGAACAAAAAAAAAAGGGTGGGTGGAAGGGAAGACCACAAAAGGGAAAAAGTACAGGACAAAAACCGCTTGTTATCAGTTAAGTGCCTCTGGCTGCAAATTAGGAAGACCTAATACCAACTTGTGATAAGCTGCCCCTCTTTCAGTCTGTGTCCCACCCTCTAAAAAATGTATACTTTACCAAATCCCATTCCACAACGCTATTTAAAACTGCTATGGTGAAGAAAAAGCTGATAGACTGAGAAAAGAAATCATACAGAGCACACTTCCATGTATCGGACATGGGATCCAACCCAGGAGTCAGAAAGAAATGATTTCAAAGTAGAAAATGAAAGAGTATTCATAGCAATCTCCAAACAAGGAACAAAGGTCTCACACCCACCAATCCCTTGTGAAGGTGTAGAATGTTATTCTACAGAATTAGAAACCTTCCCCCCAATGCTGAAGTGTGCTTGCTTCCATCTTATACAACAAACTAACCAATATATCAGGATGGGAAAGGACAAGAAACCAAAGCAGGTCACTTATTTCAAAACTTCAAAGAATGTAGTATTTTCAAAGAAAAATGCTGAGAACAAAAGTGTAGATAACAACTAAGAAAGCTTCATTTCTGGTGAGAGGTGGGATTGAGGATAAAAAGCCCTTTGTTTTTGATTGAACATACTTCTAATACAGACCTCAAAGAAATGGAAGATACTCAAGCACTCCCGAAAAATTAGTTTAAAAATGTAAAAATACCGCCTCTACACCTAAAATAATGTCCAAATAGCCATAATGATCAGCAACTCCCAAATGCCCACGCTTCTAACCCAGAACTGCAGTATTTGTCGAAAACTGTCCAGACAACCTACCCCACAAGATGGACTCTTCAAGGGCAGGGACCCTCCTCTTAAGATTCCATCTTGTTTACCTAAGTCCAGGGAAATTACAATCTATAAAGCAGGGAATAAAGAAAGGACTCAGGCTGACAGAGTAAGAGCAGAAATGCTCAGAATCCATTACCGAAAGCAGAGAAATCTCTCCTGCCTGGTAGTAATAAAACCAGTTCGCTTTTACGTTCAAACTGGACCAAGATGGGAGAGTGAAGAGTAAGCTTTGTGCATGTATGATCTCTGCTTTGGTGTTAAATGAAGCGTCACAAAGTTGTGACCCAAATCCATAGTTTGGACAATTTCATGAAATGGGATGACCCTAAATAGCCAGCCATCCTATAAGGAGGATCCTGAAAAAAGTGACTGAATCAGGAAACTCAGGTGGAGATATTCCGCTTCCTTACAATGTTGACACTGTCCTAAGGTCAAACCACTTCCATTTAATAAGCACTACCTGACAATATTTAGGGCAAACCTACCCAAGCAGAAGAAAACAATCCCCAGCTTCCAAGAACATGAATCTTACCACTTAACACCCGCCCTTCCCCGTACCCCAGTTAGAAACAAGAAAAACCTTTACAAACAGCCTCTGCACAAAGCTTACTACCATGTCCCACTGAACATGAAGAATCTGATGTGCTTGGTAGCTGAAGCAGATCTACACACAGAGGAGTCTTTTCTACATAAATACTAGTAAATACCTCAAGGCATTAAAAGGCTTAAGGCAAAAGTCAAAACCACTGGGGAACTGATAATTCTTAACCAGGAGATAAAAGACAATGGAATAAATACAAGGTCAGTGTAAGCAGAACAAAATAGACTTCATACTTAAGAATTCCTTTCCCCTGTACTAGATTCAGGAACTCAGAACACCTTTTATGCACAACAAAAAATGAACAGTTATGACAGAGGTAAGTGACTAGACAAAAATCTACATGAAAAGGATGGCTAAGCCCCTTGGGAAATAGACTGCTAACCCCGGCTTAGCATGTGAGTAAGCAATTAAGAACGTGACTAAAGCACATGTGCTGAGAAAGCAAGAAATACAAATGCCTTGTAGGATGTCCACCAGACCCCGAATAACCCCACTATGGCTATTGTGCGCAGTAACATCAGCTAGGTTTGGGTGAGGAGAATAAAACCTCAGGAAGCCATTATGGTATGAGATGGTGGCAAAAAAAGAAAGAGGCTAGGCATTTCTGAAATAGTCCAAAACCTGTGCCTCCCCTTTCCCACAAGCTCTGAACAATGGAGCAATTTGCAATTTGAGAAAAATGGATGTTTTCAGAATAAATGGTAATCGCTGCTTCCAAGAAACTGCCTTGCCGTCACATTACTTCATTATCCTTACTCCAATTAGGGCGCTTTGGAGACTAGACCCCATCCATGAAATACTGGCCTATGACATGTACAGCAAGAGACCCACATTTGCTTCTTAGTCAGTATGGATGCTCCAGCCAGAGCACTGTCCTACTAGTGAAAACCTGCTCTACTCTTTCCAAGCCTAAAACCATCAAGTCAAATGCAAGCATTCTATTCCCCTCCCCCGTACAAATTTATTACAATCTTGTTACTTTTCCTGCTTGCTACACTTAAGAATGGATCAAAGCAGGGCTAGACTTTAACTTTATTGCCATCTCCACCCATCCCTGCTCCCATCCCCCAAATATTCCCACATTTAGTAATACACTGTAGCTTTCCCCAACACACACATTACTTGTGTTGCCAACAATAACACAAAAGGTAGAGAGGGAACCCTTACCTGACATTGATTAGATATTGAGCCAGGCTAATGCTGGCAGCAGATCCAGTGATGGTAACCTGCCTATCAGTAGATCCTTCCACTGGGTTCGCAATTTTGATCTGCGCCCCAGACATCTGACGGATCTCATTGATTTTGGCGCCTTGACGCCCGATTATGCAGCCAATCAACTTAAAAAAAACAACAAGGCATAACAAAATTAAGCGTTGCATGGCTAGATCCAAGAATTCCATCCCACCCTTCCAGTCTTCTATAGCTTGGATCCACAATAATGGCAATGGAAACTACTATCCGCATCCTACACACCCTACTCACATACTCCTGATTAAAAAACTTGATTCTAGATTTTATCTCCACTCTTGCCCTATTTTGTCTACCACAGATCAGAGCCAACTCTCAGTGGACTGACTCCGAGGAGCATTAGCTCACTTCCTAGAGTACCAATCCAAAGACAAAATAAATCAGAGCCAACAGGCTAACCAGTTTCTCATGGCTAGGGATAATAAAGGTCTCTGGGTTTTGGCAACAAAGATGCCTAAACTCATTCTGCTATGATTACCATTTTAATATACTGGTAAGAATTCTGCCTAATTTATAATGCTTTTGCCTCTGGAAAAAATAAAAAATTGGTCTACATTCATATTGTCCAATACTGTAGACTAATAACACGTGATTATTGAAAACCTTTAGTGTAGCTAGTGAGACTGAGAAATTGAGATTATTTTATTATTCTCACAATTTAAATAGCCACATGTGGTTAGCGACTACCATGTTGGACATAACATTCAATGGCCTCTGCTTTAAGGATAAGGCTTCAGATCATCCAAGAAACTAAGGCCAATGGGAATTTGTATCTGAGACAAAAATGGTTTTCTCCCTCACGATACCTCAACACAATAGTTTTACCTATTTTCTCCATCAGTTTTTATTTATGATTCTACATACTTTTAAAATTTTAATTTGGGATCTTTAAAAAACCCCATTTCTTTCCCTAGGCCTTAAGAATGGCATGACACTGCATCAACTCTTATTTTTATCCCATGCAACCCTATTAATTATACTCACATCATTTGGAATGGTGAGTTCATGAGAAGTAGTCTGAGCAGATGCATCCAAACCTGCTAAAAGACAGAAGAGAGCAAGGAAGTTCAATGCATAGCAAACAAACCCCCACTGATTTGCACATTAACCTAACAGAAGGAAACAAACTGGAAACCCAGCATTGGCTGTTGGGATTCATCACTAACTTGGAAGCCTCCAAGGAGGAAAGAGGGGGAAAGGGGTACAGAAATAATGCTGGAAAGGTTCCTCTGTAAACTCAGAAAAGCTGATTTCATGCCATTTCCTGCAAAGCCCAGCCTATTAGGGTGTAAGTGGATGGAAGCCAGGGGCAAGGGAATGTGGTAGGACCAAAATCTAACCAAATCCTTCTGCACTGCTCCCCTTTTCTGCTTAGGATTTCCTGCTGCTGTTGTGTTCCAATTTTATCTCACCTGATGCTCACTAGCACCAGTGCCAATATCATGCCTGTTACTGGGTACCATGGACTTTTGGCAGACATGCAGAGTTGCTTTAAATATACCTGTATCAGATTAACACCTCCCCCAATCCTAACCTACACTTGAAGGTCAAATAGAATGAAATGGCACCCAGGTGAGGGAAGTTCATTTCTCCAGATTTATTCCCTGTCTTTTCCTCAATTGCTCAGTAATTTGTTCTCGTTTTTATTTTGCTTTCCAAAGAAAAAGAAAAAAAAAAAATCCCATCAGCAAACACCCATACCCATCAATAATACTGACACCTGGAAAGGACCAGGCTGGCTGGCTAATTCTCAAAGCTAGTCCTGCTCTCAGCTGTGGCCTCTAAACTCAACATTTTTAGAAGGGGGTTGGCCAGATCCATCAAGGGACCCTCAGGGGCACCAGGCCCACCCCTTTGCTCTCTCAGCTCCTTTCTGCCATGTGCATCTTGCTGGTATGTCATGGGCAGTGAAACAAGACTCCCACCAGTTTATTAATATAACAGTAGAATACTACAGATTTTTTTTTTTAATCATTACCCCAATAGCCTTTCACCTCTGGAGAGCTGGATTCAATGCCTGTTAAGATACAAGTGAAAATGAGTTTGGTGGTCTCATCCTAACCCTATCGGACAAGTTATTCCTTATACAGAAAAAAAAGCCCCAAAAACAAAACAAAACAAAACCAAAAACCACTACACAATTTGGCACAAATGGATTTTCTACCCAGATCTGTGAATAGCTGGTGGAGAGAAAGGGGGTGCCAATCAGATCAAAGGGGCAGCAGTGAGGATGGGAAGAAATATTAGCCTACCCTTTGCCTGACAAGCATCCCCAGACCTCACCCCAAACCTTCCAGGGCCTTTTTTTTTTTTTTTTAAAAAAAGAATAACTCACCCCAAATGAAAACCAAGTTAACAAACACATTACCTCCTTCGGTTTAGCGATAGAAGACAGGCAAGTTTAAACCAGCAGGATGCTGGGTAATGAAGTATGTTTTAAACAGATGTCAAACTGAGACCTTGGGGCTGGCCTCTGTCTTGCACTACGCTTTACAGAAATAAACACTGAGGTATCCATACCACTGAATCCGGTGTTGCCATGCGTCATGGGAAAATGAGACTGTTGCATTGCCAACTGGTGCAGCTTGGTCAACTGCAGGGAGGAAACAGGAGAGGTTGGCATTAGAAGAGTAACAGAGTCAGGGCTCAAGCATATTCAGATCTGAAAATGCAGAGCTCCTGATCCCCAAAGTTGACTCTACTACTCAAACTACAACACAGGGTAAAGATGGGACTTAGACCACAATCCTGGAGATGGGAAGAATATGAAGGTAAGAGTTAGAAATAGAAAGGGCATCAGTACAAGAGAATGAATGCATTTTGTGTGTGTGAAAAGAAAAGCAGCAGCACCTGCCCGACAACCATCCCCTCGTGGGCTACTTAATGAAGGTGTTTGCAGCCATTGCAACAGTTGTCCCCGGGACAAGCACAGACAGGCCAGGTAAACAAACTGTGCAGTGTTGCGAGGGGAAACACACCATGCAGGGTTCTTCCAGTACTGGGAGAAGGGAAGGAGATGAGGGGGCAGGGAAACTGCGAGGAGGAGAGAGATTAAGATGAAACCAAACTGGGCTCAGCCCCACCCCCCCCAATGATTTCTACAGCTATTTTTCTTCACCTATATAAACTCTCCTGGCTGTTGTAAAACAATCCCTCCTCAAGGCTACTTCCCCTCCTGGGACAAGCCAAGAACCAAACCCAACTTCCCAAGTCTAATGCTCAGCACCTGAAAGGGTTAGTAATGACAGAGGAAAGTGCAGAGAGAAATGCCCTTACACGAAATTTGAATACCAGTGCTTTTAAATAGCGTGTTTAGTGGCAAGAAAGGTTTTACTGAGTCGAATCCCCAAATATTCAGCTTATCCCTCCCTGTGCAAAATAAGCCCCTTTCCCACCCGCCCAGATGCTTTTTAAATTGTCACCTCAAATTGAGGAGTACCCAGAGACAAACCCAACCTCCCACACCCCCCCCCCACCCATGGAAAGGACTCTATGAAGAGATGCACAGTCAGTCCACTGTCAATTTAAACTGTGCCCTGGAATAATAAATCACAATATACCGTGGAACACTTCTCTCTTTTAGGTAGAATAATCTGGAATATGGGGAAAGCAGAATCTAATAATCTGCTGAATCCAAATTTCCAATGATTACGTCAAAAAGCAAACAAGGTGCTACTGTGGCCCTGATTAAAGATTATTTAAGGCCCAAAATATGAGGTTCACCTTGTGAGGAAAATACTATAAATGTTTAAGACCCAACTCACTTCTGCCTATGTGGAAGAAAGAATGAAACAATTTTGGATGGGAGAGGGAGCTTTTCAAAACAAGAAGTGAAAACAAAACTTACATCTGGCTGTGGAATGGCATACTGTCCTTGAATGGTATAGGCCTACAAAAGGAGGAAAACAGTTCCTATTAAAAAACCAATCACGGACAGCCACCCAGTGGGAGAAGGGGAGACAGATTTCAACTAGCCAGGAAGCCAGAGTTGAACTAGAGATGGGGGAGGCCAGAGATTGAGGCAGTAGATGGTATCTCACAAACACAGTCAGACCTGAGTTGGCCTTCTTTGAAACCTAAATATGATGCCTTATTCCAGGAAGCCTATGAAGGGAGCCATGTTCCCTGCAATCAAAGGCAAAATACACATTTGTTTCTTAATGGAAAGGTGGGAAGTGGGATTAAGCAATGCCTCGATTGACCAAACCCCCTTCTTTTTCCCTATATACAAGACAGCCTAGGAGGAAAAATGTTCCCTTCCCTCAACCACCCCAACCCTTATATACCGGTCATGGTGACATGAATGATTTGTATTTGCACAAACCTACGTGGCATGTTTTGAAACACTTCCCTTTCCCTATATCCCTATCTTACTTTTCTCTACATCTGCCTAAAGATGTTAAATGCACTGGAAGCTAGCAGAGTACCTAACACTAGGGAGCTGACCTCAGGAATGCAAAATAAATAAATAAATAAAACAAATCACTGTGTTCTAAACCCTGCACCTTCTCCCACCTCCCCCTCCATAAAAGGTACTTGCAGCTCCCACTACACCCTCCTCCCCCCGCACCATAACCTCCAAAAAGGGAGCTGGGTCTTCAGGGCAATGGGGAGGGGGACAAGGAGGAGGAACAGGAAGGGAGGGAAAGGAGTGGCTGGTTAACAGGATGTGAAGCTTTTCACATCACAGTGGCCAGTACCCCCCAAAAGTGCACCCAGGTGGGGGTAGGAAGGTGAAAATGGGATAGGAAGAGTGGGAGATGGGGAAGAGGGGTTGAACAACAACAAAAAAAAAAAAAAAGGAAAAAAAGGAAAAAAGGAAAAAAAAAGAAAAAAAAAAGAGAGTTGGTGTTACCATCTGGTGGGCTACGCGGCCTGTGTGAAATGAGGTGGGGGGGTCAGTCCAGGTCCCCGTGGACAGGTGGTGTCCACAGCATAAAAATCACCAGCGCCACTGGCCCCCCGCGTGTTGGCAGTCTCGGCTGAGGCGGAAGGATTGAGTGAGCCTTGGAGACTGAACATCCCCTCTCACCTCTAGAGGTGGTCCCTCCAGGTCAGGGTTGAGGCACATGGACGGGGTGGTGTGGGGAAAGCTCGCACTGTCGCTGCCTGTGCTGTACCTGTCCTGTGGATAAATAGAGGATTTCAGTCTCCAGGGCTGTCAATCCGGCACCTTGTCACCAGCATGAAATTCACACAAAAAAAGTTGTTTAATTTTTTCTTTTCCTTTAAAAAGGAGCTCACGACACAATTTGAAACGAGCTGCAATCAGTGAATTTAAAAAAAAAAGTTACCTTGTGGCAGGTATCACACCGCACAATTGGGCTATTTTCAGTAAGAATGAAGGGATGGGGCAACAGAGCTGATGCCAGCTACTGGTCAGTGTGGGATTAAGTTGAACCCCTACAGAGCCCACTTTTGTCACAAAGGAACAAAAGATACAGGTCCATCTGTGGACGTTGCATGAACCAGTCCATTTAAAAAGGCCCATGGGAATAATCAGGGCCACTCATGAAAGAAGCTTCAAGCCTTTAGAGGGTGGTCAACTGAATAAAGGGGGGGGAGGGTGGGAGGAAGGTGGGGAAGCAAAGAGGTAAGAAGGGGGAAGTGGAAAAAGGAGGAAAGGAAAGGGAAATGAAGAATTATAGACAGGATTGCTGCTGCACAGCATGGGACTCTTTATAATCCCAAATGGCAGTGGAAGAATCCAGAAGAGCAGGAACCTAGAGTTTCTGGGGAGAAGGGAAAACTCCTAAGGCTAAGCCTCCTTGCTATACTGACTCTGGGCCTTTGTTTATCCTGCCTGACTATCCAGACTGACAGAACCCTTTAACCAATCTGGTTTAAACAAGGCAAGGTACTAAACTGTCTCAAGGTAGCACTGCGACATGATTTGTGAAAGCTCCCAAAAGCACATGACAAACTAAGTCTCCAAAATCTTGTTCAGTTTTATGCCAACTCAAAATAGAATGTGAATGAGATGGACTTTAAGTTTTTGCTTCCCCCAATTCAAACACAAGATGGAACTAATTGAGTTAAGTGTGCTTGTAACAGGCCAGCCCCTCATTGGGAAAAGGCATTCTGAGCAATGCACTTGCTTAGGCAACCACCAAAATGAAGGTCACTATTTCAACCTGAACCCCAACATTTACAAAACTGACCTACCTACCTACTCCTTAAATACTAACCAACGAAGCATAAAACTATCATTCTATTCCATGCTCTTGTCATACAAATCTAACTTCAGAATAAACCATGTGCCAAGGATCAAGAGTTTAGGTGGGTGAAGTAGAAAGAGGCCAAGGGGGTGCTTTGGTGTTCTTACTCTAACACCAAAGATCATAGCACCACAGCCCAACATGCTCTCCCCCTTCTATTCTCATACACTGAACCCTTACCCCGGCTGGTTTCAGTTATGCCATGTGGGTTCAAACCAGCATTTATGAGGTTAAGAGCCTGGGGGAACAATTCACTGGAGTTTGGGAGTGAAGGGGTAGGAGTAGGGGAGGTGAGGTGGGGGGGAAAGGGAAGTTTGTAGGACACTCAAGTTTAGGACCCCCCAATTTTGAGACCACCATCCAGAATCTCCTTCAGAGGTCCAGTTCTTTGCTACTTTTATTCAGACCTCTAAAGAACACCCCACACATAAAAAAGCATGGATGGGGTGGTGGGAGAGGGAGAGAAGTAGTGACACCAAGGCCATTTTACCCTTTCTTCTAACCCAACCCACCTTAAATTACCAAGTAAATTCCCCCTTCCGAGTGCCTACAAAACTCCCATTGTCTGCTAAAAATTAAGTAAGGGCTTGGCATTCATAGCTTTCTCCAGTACAAAAAAATAAAACTAGAAGCAGGTCAAACTAATGGCCAGAGTACAGGTTTCAGCAAGCATGCAGAGTGGCCTGGTGTGCTGCTGGCAAAGTTGACATTTCAAATATAATCCTTGTTCATTCTAGCCCACCAATAAGAACTTTCTTACCTGACCACCTGCAAAGATGACTGGAGAACTGGACGGCTTGGGCCGGTACGGGATGGTCACGCCCTTCGGGGGGGACTGGGAGAGAGTCAGAGGGGAAAAAAACAAAAAGAGATAAGGTTTCAAAGCTGCTTCAGCTGTGTGGCTTAAGCTCACACAGATCAGTTAAATTAAAACTGTATTAATTTCCATCCCCTCACCTACCAACGTTGTCTCTGGCTAGATCTAATCTCAAATCATCTGTAGTTATTTGCCTTTAAAGCAGTTAAGATGCGTCCGTGGACTACACAGCTCACACTAATTCTCATCAAGGTAGATTCCCCTGTAATAATTTACGCATTATTTCCACGTCTTCAAATAAACCTAATGAACATGACAAACCTCTATGCGTACGTATATTGTTGGCAATTTAGGATCTTACATTTTGGCCTATATAAAAAAACGAAGCCAAAATAGGAAATAAAGTACCCCAGTATTATGCCTAGAATAATACAGACTCTGTCAAGAAAAATAGTTCAAAGGTTCAGTCAACATTTTCCTAAACTCTACTTGAAAATCCTACTTTCCGTTCTCATGCAACATGGGACCAATTCCACAACAATTCTAAAAAGGTTTATTTTCCTTTAATTTTGCTATTCTTATTTTAACTGAATAACATATGCTACCAGGACCTCATAAATCATTCAAAAACACCGTTACGGATAAATCTTCTCTTATATAAATATCTTGAATATAATCCTGCCTTAAAACAAATTAACTTGAAGAATGTGTCAAAATTGCACATAGCCAAAATACTGTAATACAAATCAACTTAACTCAGCTTCTCAGGAACCCAGTTACATCTTTTGTCCACTCAGTCCAAGTAGTGAATCTTCCCCTACCAACCCTACTAGAATTGCTATAAACCAAAAGATGACTGCTGCTTAACAGTTTCTATTTTTGCTCAGACTATAAGAAAAGTCAAAGCTGGGGGGAGGAAAATATGAACTCAGGGAACCTCTTCCCCACCCCCACTGGAAGCTTCTAACAGCTTCACCTAATTCTAGTCTTACTAAATATAGATCAGTCTGTTTCCCTAGAATCACCCTCCCCCCATTCTCAGCATGAGCCTGAGGGCTTACCTCCAACATGACCACGCAGATCTGTTTCACACACTCAATGATGGATTGCGGAATGCCAGCAATAGTGATGGCCCGCTCAGTTGAGTTGGGGAGCATATCCCCCGCCACCTGGACCTGAGCCCCTGTACTCTTTGGGGTAAAAAGAAATTTTAAAAATCAGATAAAAACAGCTCATACTCTTCCAATTCCCCAATCAGCGATTTTAGAGTCTAACACTCAGTAGAGATACTTATCCCATCTCCTATTTTACCCTTTTTATCCTCCCTTCCCACTCCTCCCTTATTCCAGATATGACTGTTTAATCACAGTTATAAATAAATTAGCCTCTGAAAGTCAAGAATAAACCTGAATAACAGCCTAAATTTAAGCTGTTCTCAAGAAAAAGGCCCTTCTAGAAATGATAGCTAGCTAATGATGGCTTCATGGGCCATCAAACAAAATCTCTGCAAGTATCACCCACTTTTCATTCTCTTATTGAACAAATATTTATGTTAAGCCCATTCTATGTCTCAGGCACCATTCCGGTTGCTTGGAATACATCAAACAAAACCAAAATCCTTGCTCTCATGGCATATACAATAAGCTCCTGAAAACTCCTTTAGGAGCCACTCAAATTTCATTCCAACATCCAATTCAGTAACTCCTATTAAAAACTTCCATAATTCAATGTAAATGCCACAGTTTAAAAGGGAGCACAATTACAACTACAACCTAATACATCTTCCTGTTTTCCCCTTGCTATTTAGGAGTCTGGTCAAGGAAAATATATCCTATTATTATATATCAAACTGTAATCTTCTTAGACATAAAAAAAAAAAAAAGTATGTAGTCTCATAGAAAAGTTGCCAAATAAAAAAAATGGAAACAGGGGGTGCCTGGGTGGCTCAGTCAGGTGTCCGACTCTTGATTTCAGTTCAGGTCATGATCTCAGGGTAGTGGGATCAAGCCTCATGTTGGGCTCCGTGCTGGGCAAGGAGCCTGCCTGGGATTCTCTCTCCCCCTCCGTCCCCCCCACTCCCCAGCACAGTGCTCTCTAAAATAAAAAGGAAAAAAGAAAAAAAAGGAAACCGGTCATATTCAATAGTTAGAAATTCTGGTTAACCTTCTGACTTGTTATGACATATGAATTGTTTAAAAAAAAAAAACCTACACATTTTTAGGTATTCATCAATGGTACAATCCTTTTCTTCCCAATACACAATCAAATTGTAATCATCTAGGACTGTTACTTTAATAATCTTCATCTCAAATATGAACTTTTCCTAGCCATACTAAGAGCTATTAATAGGGGAAGCCATATTTAGAATAAACATTCTGAAGACAACAAAAGTTACCAACCTCTCGTATTTCTTTGATCTTGCAACCACCTTTCCCGATGAGAGAGCCACACTGACTAGCAGGGACCACCAGCCTCAGGGTAACTGGGGGTCTACTGGCAGCTGTACTATTGGTCATAGAGCTGCTGATGTCCTTCAAAACGAAATTCATCAGAACAGAAGAATTAAGTTTAAACAGATGCCTGGGACCCATAACTGCTATAACAGAACTGTTTTAACCTTATAAGGGCATATTATGTCATGATCTACCATCAGCGAAAAGTTCAAATATTGCCTCCCCCGCCCCCAAAACAACTATTTCTGAAAAGATAAAAAAATACCTACAAATTTCCTCAGAATTAGCCCTAAATACAGTTGCCTTCATGGGGGGGGGGGTTGTAGGAAGAAAAGTGATATTATTAGTTTTGGAAATTAGAGCTGACTGCAAAGTAAAACAATCTTGAAGTCAAAATTAAATAAAATATTAAGAGAAAGATGAAACAACGCAACCCAATATTCAAAGAACCAATCCTGTCCTCTTAGAAAACTGGTAAGATTAAGTTGTGTGCTTCTTTGTATCATTATTTTAATTTCTTGCTAATATCACCATCACACAGATAACGAAATTGAGGCCGAGTACTCACCCCAATCACATCTAAAAAGCTGTAGATTTGAAATTAAAAGACTGTATTGGCTCCAAAGCCCACCATCTTTCCCATAACAATATGCTACATCCAAAAGTCATGGTTTTAGCCTAGTTAAATTTAGCCTCCTGAGGATTAAGTGGTTTAAACATCACGTCTCAGCCTAATCTCTATGCAATAGCTGGACCTGGAAAGTGCTTAAACATAAAGTCTTTAAAGTCAAGGACATGTTAAACTATGAACAGATCTTCTGAATGTTTTTTAAGCTTCAGACTCTGGATTAGCAGGGCCTTGCAGGTCAAAAGATAACATTTCTGATCTTGGCCATGATAAAATTTCAGGCACCATTAACTATCCAATCACCAACCCAAGCAGCAGCCAACAGCTCTCCTCTGCCTGTAGTGTCAAATGCGTGATTAGCAGCATTACTGAAGAGGGGGAGGAGGCTGAAGAAGACAAGACCTAGGGCAAAGACTGTTCAGTGTCTGAAGGCTGAGGTACCTTGGTGAACAAAAAAAAAGCTTCCCTCTGCCAAAAAACCTCTGGCACTGATATTTTGCTTCTGATAACCTATAAACATTCCCTCCCTTCAAGTATCGGTCTGACACAACATTTCAGATTTTTTTAAAAAATCTAACTATATCCAAGGTTGAAAGGCACCTGTATTTATAGTATATAGTAGTGTTCACCAAGGCACCTAAAGAAAGCACATTTAGGCTCACTCAACTATAAATCAGGGGACATAACGTTTAGTAATAAAGTACTGTCATACCTTCAAAACTGTCAGTCAAAAAAATGAAAATAAAAGATGCTAGTTTTTCACACAATTTTTTAATGCTGAGTCCCTGGTAATAGTCAAGCTATTTGTTTTAATGATTCAAGTGACTTAATGGTCAAATTTTGGGGACACTGAAGGTGGGGGGGCGCAAAGGACCCATTCGTAGATATTTATGATCCATTCTGTTCTTGAATTTAAAAAGTTCTCAGAAGGGGCGCCTGGGTGGCTCAGTCGTTAAGCGTCTGCCTTCGGCTCAGGTCATGATCCTGGGGTCCTGGGATCGAGTCCCGCATCGAACTCCCTGCTTGGCGGGAAGCCTGCTTCTCCCTCTCCCACTCCCCCTGCTTGTGTTCCCTCTCTCACTGTGTCTGTCAAATAAATAAAATCTTAAAAATAAATTAATTAATTAAAAGTTCTCAGAAAATCACTAAGTTATCTAGAAGCACTTTAAAAAGAAGACTAAATGGAGAGGGGTGTCTGGGTGGCTCAGTTATTTGCGCGGCCAACTCTTGATTTTGGTTCAGGTCATGATCTCAGGGTCCTGGGATTGAGCCCTGCGTCAGGCTCTACGCTCAGCAGGAGTCTACTTGAGGAGTCTCGCCTCTCTCATGAGGGCACACACAAACACTCTCTAAATAAATAAAATAAAAATGAAACTTAAAAAACACCCGAAAGTAAAATAAAACAAAGACTAAGTGCAGAATGAAAGAGCAACAAACCTCTTCCAGTTTGTCAATGATCATAGCGAAGGCTTTGAAGATGGCGTTAGTGGGTCCAGCCAAAGTGATAATTCTCTCAGGACAATTCCCTTCTGAGATGTTGATACGTGCACCACTCTGGATAAAAAACAAAGCCAAGAGTTAAATAAGACAAAAAGATCTGAGCATATATAAACAGCCCCCCCCCATAAGATAAGCCGGGAACTGTCTACATACATTATCTTGACAGAAGGCAATTTCAGCATCATTTCAAACATTGCTCATTTTTGTCCTCAGACTACAGAAGCTGCCTTAATGCTTGAATGAACTGAGACACAGGAACTACATTTCCCAGCATACTATATGTCATTACAAATAACCAAGCCAGAAAAATACCACATTTTCCTTTTGAGACATTCCCCCCCGTAATCACTCATTAAAGAAAATTTTTCCTTTAAGGATTTAACAGTCCCTAAAACTCCCCCCACATAACTCACCTCCTCACGCATCTTCTTAACTGATTCTCCTTTCTGTAAGAGGAAAAGTCAAGAGTGAGCTCCAACTGCTATTTCAACCCAGACTGACTAAACAGTAATTAGAGTTGAAGTGAAACTGTCTTACCTTTCCGATGATACTGCCAACTTCCTGCAATGGAGAAAACCAGCGTCAATAAGAGGAAACTCAAAGTGTTCGTTATCATGAAAAGGAATTTTTAACGGTCCAAAACAATGGGAAAACTAAGATTTATAGGGAAGGGGATTGAGTGGGCTTTTTCTTTGCTTTGCTCAAAACATAAATGAAGATATCCAAGAATTTTGAAAGAATGATGATGCAGGAATGATTTAATGCTATTGTGCTTAGTATGTTATTTTTTAAAGTACCAAATACATCACCCTCCACCCCCCGCCCTAAAAGTTTCCCAAAATTGTCTGGGCAGAGGAAATCTACTTATCACAAGCTATAGCAACCTCCACAGGCAAAATCTTATTATCCAGATATGTGACAGTCTTTGGCTCCATCTTCCAGTTAAGCCTTTCCTGCTCAGTGGAGCTTCCTACTAAAGTCTGTCCATTTTCCCACTACACTCTCATCTACTCTGATAGAGAAGAGTGCTAAAGCCAGATGCCCCACAGTGCTAATCTGATGAGCTCCAAGATGCATGCCCTCTCTTCCTGGCCTCTCCCTGAGCAGTTACTATGACCCAATTTCCCAAGCTGGTGCATACCTTTCCATGCATAAGTAGCCGGATGGTGAGAGTGACATTTAATCCACCTTCAATCACACCGGTGTCCATGTCGAGCAGTGTTCTGGGGAGCTGGACTTTGAGTGGTCAAGTCTTTGGTCACTGGTGGGGGTGAAAGCCAAAAACTGAAATGCAAACATGATCAAAGTCAGAAACAACAGGAGAAATAGTTCCTAAAATCATTTTCACCATTATCAATGTTCTGATTCTTTTCCTTAAATCACAGTCTATCACTTGGCAAGCTTGTATATATCCAGCACAACTACGTTAATGACAACTATTTACAGCTCAGGTTCTGTTAAGAGTATGGAAGGAGACTTTTCAGTCTACTCTCCTTAATGGTAGGGTTCCCGCGGACTCTCAGGATGAGGAAGATTCCTTCAATTGGCAATGGTTGTAAAGGAACTGCTGAAAGTGCACTTGTCCTTCAGCAGAATAAGCTTTGACAGGATACAGAAACACCTGGAAATCATGAGGCCAAACCTCTAACCAATTACAGAGAGGCAGATGACCTTCTGCTTCCGTTAGGTAGCAGTTCAGGTTGAAAGCTAGAAAGGACACAAAGTTTTCTTACTTGCAGCAATTTCTAGGTAAAAAATTGAGCTGTATCACACATTAAAATTTCTAATCTTGACAGATGACACCGAATAATTTTAATAAGATTTAAATCAACAGCCTCACTGAAAAAGGCATTATCTGAAAGCCTTCTACAAAGGCTGGGATTCCATATTCTCCTTTGGGAAAACAGTACATTAAGCACAGCCTGAGTCCTTTCTTCTATTCCCTTTCCCAACCCAACTTGATAATCATTCGGATTTGAAAATTTTCCTTGCTTCTGTATTAACCTTTGTTACCACTTCATCTTTATTCAAATCTATTAAATCTTAAATTTTCTTCCAAAGAAAACAATGAAAAAACTGGTATTGCTAAAAATTTATTGTATAGTTGTTTTAAGCAACAGCAATAATGAACCCTTCCTACAGAGAAAGGTCTTTCCCCATCTGTCCTCTGAAACAATGTTCCCAATATTTCTGTTTTGAAGTAACAAATTACATGCAGAAAGAGAATTTGTTTTTTGGATATACCTTTTCCTAGGATACCTCCTTAGGACCTAACAGCATTAGCTTTAAAAGGTTCTCCCAAGTTGATAAATTTCTCCAGTGACATTTTTAGCAACCATCCCTTCAAAACTCAACATCAATGAACTCTCCTACTAGTTTTCCCCCTTCACAAACCAGCCACTGTTTTAACTTTGCTCTAACACAAAGCCCATCCCTAAACATTTAAAAAGTGTTTTTAAGTTGCTGCCAGATCATTCTGTTTATGGCAAACTTCCCCGTGGTTACCTCCAGAGCATGATTTAAAAGATGGGCTTTGCATCCCCAAGGCACCTCATTCCCCCATCTTCAAAATAGAATTAACTGCTGGCAAAATCCCAAAATTCAACACTTTTCACTCATGGAAAAACAACAGTGCTGGGGGGGAGGGAGGCTGAGTGGAAAGGGAGAGACAGAGTTACGTCTGTAAGAATGACTTTGTTTTTTAAAATAAGATACGGTAAAATATTGGCAGTTTAGCTCCTTATCTCCACTCAAATGTAACAGGAAACACTTTACAAACACTACAACAACGCAAGTACGAAAGGGCAAGAACACTGAAAATCTTTTAGAAGGCCATTTCGTGATCAAGGCACAAAGCTGCATTTCTAACTCCAAACATCCAAGAAATCCCTGTCATGTTCTCCTGACTAGGTCAATATAAGTGTACCCAATCCCAGGAATCCAGCTGTTAATCCTACAGTCCATTACCCCTTCTCCTATAAATAGCTCGGCCTGGGTCTATATCGGCAGGCATTTTGTAATTTCAAAATTCGTTACCCCGAGAGAACGTCCTGAATAACTCGGTAACTGAGAGCCCGTTTACCCTTTCTTTAACTCCGCAGCCCCCCTCCCCTCGGTCATCCAAACATTTTCCAATTAAAAAATGCCCCCCCCATCCCTCCACCAGAAGAGAAGGGAAAAAAAAAATAAACGGTTCGGTCGGGGGGGGGCGCTGCGATCCAGGGGGAGGGGCCGGACTAGTAGCGCCTCCTCGTGTGCCTGCGCCAGCGCCTGACCCCCGCGGGGAGCCGCGCTCACCCGCCCGGCCAGCAAGCCGGCCATCGCCTCCCCCCACCCCCTTCAACCAACAAATCCACCGCCGCCCCCCCCTACCGCGCGCGCGCCCTCCTTGACTCCTGCGCAGCCGCCACCGGGAAAAGGCGGGGGGAGGGGGGTAGGCCTTGCGCGAGGCCTACTAGGCCGCGCCTGAGCCAGGGCCTCGCGTGAATGGCCGGCGAGCCAGAGTGAGGGGGTAGGCGCTCACGCGGTACTACGCAAGGCCGGGGCTCGTGACGAGAACCGGAGCACGCTGAGAAAGATGGCAAGAGTGGAAACAGAGCTATAGCTGGGGGCGGAGGGAGAATTTTGAAGCTTACCTGCAGGCGCGAGGCGACTGAGGGGAAAAGGGGAGCGGGCGGGAAGGGGAAGGGCGGGAGG